CACACACAGAGAGACGCACACACACACACACACACACACACACACACACACACTTACACACACGCACACGTGTGCATGCAGCACTGTCTCAACAAGGAATGTAACGACAGTCACGGCTCCGATATGGAGACACGTGGCAGCGATGATGATGATGATGATGATGATGATGATGATGATGATGATGATGATGATGATGGTGATGATGATGATGATGATGATGATGATGGCGGTGGTGGTGTCACTGCAGGGAAGGGCGTTCCTTCTTTGGTCCCGCTTGCAGACTTCCTGTAAAGGTGGCGGTGGTGGACATGGGGTGGGATAGATGAACATGATGAACACGCGACGCAAACAGGGAAGGCGTAAATACACAGGCAGGCACAAACAAGTCACACACACACACACACACGCACACACACACACACTCTCTCTCTGTCCCCGTCTCACACCCACACACACACACCCACACACACACCCACCCACACACACACCCACACACACCTCCGAATTCTGATTCAAAGTATGCAATCTTCTGAAGCAGCTCTGAGCAAAAGCCATCGAGCTGGCATGCACCAGCAGGAGGAGGAGGGGATAATGCACATTCATGGAACGAGGAACCAATGCAACAGTACACGGGTCTCGCATGAGCCAGACGCAGGTGCAGAAGCAAAAGCAGTTGTAGAAGCAGATGCAGACGCAGTTGCATAAGCACAAGTAGAATACACACACACACAGACATGCGCACACACACACACACACGCACAGATAGACATGCGCAGTTGTGAGTGGGATGAGGAAGGTTTGCAGTGCCACAAACGCAAACACACAGACACAAGCACATTCAAACAGCCACAAGGACACACAGAAACAGAGACACAGCAATGATGGCAGTGGAGCTTGAGCTCCCAACGCTCCACAAAAGAGATTGTTTTGCTGTCCCAACTCCTCATCACGTGCATCACATGGCAAGAAGAGGTTATTCTCACGTGGCGCTTCGCTGTTGAAGGAGACGTGCTTTGTTTCGTCATCCATGATGGCGTTTGCTATGAACAAAGAAAAGTGACAGTGTCACGTGGTGCTGCGTGCAAGCAGTGCCGACGAGTGTGTGTGTGTGTGTGTGTGTGTGTGTGCGTGTGTGTGTGCGTGCGTGTGTGTGTGTGTGTGTGTGTGTGTGTGTGTGTGCTGTCCGATAGGAAGGATGAGACAAGTCAATGATTGTTGGGCTGGCTGGTGAGCGTGTGATGTGGTTGTTGTCGTTGTGTGGTGGGCAAATTTGACCTTTATGAAAATGGAGGAAATTCTCCATTTTCGATAGTCAGCTGTTTCTTGAAAGCTGTCAGCACATCTTGGGTTGGAAGGACAAGCAGAAGGAAGACGCGGAAGGAAAGGAAACAGGTGCGCCATGCGCTGTTGGTGCTGGTGGTGGTTACGAGCAGCAGCAGCAGCAGCAGCAGCAGCAGCAGCGGTGTGGGAGATGATGGGTGGCATGTGACATGGTGCTTCCACACCTTTTCTTGAAGGAGGGGATAGATCAGACTCACACCAGGCACACACCTGGCACACACTGCACACATTGCACTGTCGACAGACAAGCGCAGGCTCCTGTCGATTGACATTGTCTTTGTTTGCTCTTTGCTTGGTCGATGCAGAGCGGGCGATTGTTCCCCAATGTGGAGGCCACTGCTTCTTTGACACAAGCAGATCACTGGCCCCAGCTTCCACTGACTTTGCACGGTGCGCCCACACTGTGTTCCAGAACACTTCCGTGTGTCTCCTTTTATTCTCTTGTTTCTTCGTGCTTGAGCGATGTGTGAGGCATTCATCAGTGCCGTCTGTCGAACGCCTTCGACAAGACTTCGATGTGACAATCTTTTGCATCTTTGCAAGAACCACGCACAACCACGAAGAGCACACTACAGCCAGTTTGCGTCATTTTTTTCTTGTGCATCTCAACCATTGCCATTGAGTTTACTCTTCTTTGCCGTTGACACGCACAAGCACACGCACACACACAAGCACACGCACACACACAAGCATACGCACACACGCACACGCGCGTATCCGCGTACGTATCCATCCTTGCGTTGAACTCACTTGAGTGACTCTACCTCTGGTATTGGCTGGCCTCTCTGCTTGCAAGCACAGGTTGCCTTTAGGTAGCAAAGCACCACCACTAGGACCAGGGTACATCTCAAACAGCGCCGCCCGCTTGTAGGGCACCATGGGCGCAAAAGGAAAGCGACGCAAGAAGGGCGCCAAGCAGCAGCAGCCGCCGGAGCAGGAGGCTTCAGTGCCACAACAACAGCAGCAGCAGGAACAGCAACAGGCGGCAGAGGGCCGGTCAGGACCACCGCCGCCACTGAACCAGCAGACGGTGCAATCGCTCAACATCTTCAAGCGCTACGATGCCGGTCAGTGCCTGCGTGCAGGCGTGTGCGCTCATCTGTGTCTTTCATTGCATCGACAGGCATGTCGTGCCTGACTGCCGTTGCAGTGGCGGCGTCTCTTGCTATTCCTGTGCCTGTGCTGAGTGCACGTCCTCCTCATGCCTCTGTCTCTGCCAACCAATGCACTCACTTTGCCCCCTCCCCCTCCAACCCTTGCTTGTCGACACCACGTGCATGCATGTACCATCACCATCGCCGCCACCACGGCCCACAGCGCTGGCTGAGGAACTGTTGAGTGCGCTTGATCTGTACGGCGGCACCTACGTCAAGTCAGCCTCAACGGCAGACACCAACGTCTACCATGTACGTGCACCTGTGCACCATCGCCCGTCGACACGTTGTTGTCGGGCTGTCGCTCGCACGTTGTGGCAAACTGGCTGTTCCTTCACGTGGCAATGGCGTCTCACTCGCTCGAATCGTCAGCACATCATCCGCACCTTGCTCTTCACACACACCATCATGCACACACACTCACACACACACACAATTACACACAATCACACACGCACCTTCACACACGCACCTTCACACACACACACGCACACACACACACACGCACACACACACACACACACACACACACACACACACACACACACACACACACACACACACACACACACACACACACACACCAACGCCAATTTCCCCCAAACCCGTGACTCATAATTCATCAACCTCACCACCACCACCACCACCACCACCACCGCTACTATGGCTGCTCGCCGGGTGCTTTCAGTTTCCATTTGTGTCGATGAGCGGCGAGGCGCAGGCGACGCTGGTGTTTGCGCTGACGCCACCGCTGTTTATCCAGCACGCCCTCCGCGACGCAGCAGCGGCCAAGCAGGCACGCAGGCAGGCGCGCCGCCGGGCCAAAGCAAAAGCCAAAGCCAAAGCAAAGGCCGGCAGTGGCACAGATGCAGCCTCCATCCACATCTCCAGCAGCACCAGCAGCAGCAGCAGTAGCGGTGATGATGATGAGGATGAGGACGAGGGTGAGGGCGACGGTGATCCGATTCTGACCAGCCTTCAGGCCTTCATCAAGGACGCGGTGAGGCAGCCCCCTTGAAGCATCAATGGCAGTTGTTGTTGTTGTTGTTGTTGTTGTTGTTGTTGTTGTTGTTGTTGTTTAAGTTGTTGTTGTTGTTTAAGTTGTTGTTGTTGTTTAAGTTGTTGTTGTTGTTTAAGTTGTTGTTTAAGTTGTTGTTGTTGAAGTTGTTGTTGTTGTTGTTGTTGTTGAAGTTGTTGTTGTTGTTGTTGTTGTTGTTGTTGTTGTTGTTGTTGTTGTTGTTGTTGTTGGACACGCCACACATATTTGGTCCTTCGCCACTGCCTCTCTTCCTGCTCACTATTCCTCATGCCTGACTCTCGTACAATGGCCCTTTCCCCCATTGCTTGTTGTTGGTTTCCACGCCTCTGCTCACGACCAATTCGCTGACGATGGCATGCAGGTTGGATATGATGCGCGGACGGTGTACAAGATGAACGCCTCCCTGGCCCAGCTCAAGTTCCTCACCAACAACACCGTCACAGACTCGTGCTTTGCCTCCATCTTCGGCCTCTGCTGGTCAGCTCACACACACACACACACACACACACTCTCTCTCTCTCACTCACTCTCTCACTCACACACACACACTCTCTCTCACTCTCACACATATATACACACACACTCACTCACTCATGTTACGAATGGCTGGGTTGCTGTCTGTTCATTTCACCAAGTGGTTCGGTGTTGCTGCTGCTTCTTACAGCTGATCTTGTGCTGCGTATGCCTCATCTTTCTCGTGTGCGTGTGCGTGTGCGTGTGCAGTACGGTGCTGGAGAACCCTGAGGAGAAGGTGAGCTTGGTGCAAAGCATCCCCACCCGCCACCCGTCGCCCATTCACGATGACGATGCCGGTGGCGAGAATGCCACCAATGCCAGCACCAGCACCACCGATGTGAAGCCCGCAGCCACGACTGCAGCTCGGCCCAACGGCGACGGTGACGGCATCAGCAGCAACAGCGTCCGCGGTGATGGTGCGCCCGAGGTGGTGCAGGCAGCCGATGGTGCTGGGACGAGTGGAGCAACCGCAGAAGACAAGGCATCAGCGACAGCAGCGACAGCAGCGGCTGCAGCCCCCAAACAGGTGCGCCGCCCGCATGGTGATGATGCGCTGATGCACGCGGGGGGAGGGGGAAGAGTGATTGTGCTGCTCTGCATTGGTGCTGTGCATTGGTGCTGTGCTGGTGCTCGTGTCCTCGCTGCACATTGCGCCCCTCTTCCCTTTTCCCACATCCCGCGCTCACACGTATGTATTTGTTGTCACTGCACCGCGCGTGCATTGGAGCAGGCGAATGCGGGACCTCTTCTGCTGTCAGCAACAGGTGATAATGGCTGTTTAGCGCCACTTGAACGCAGCTGTGGCAGTGGTTGTGACGACGATGACCCTCGGGCACAATCCTTTTTTGTTCTGCGTTGTTGTTCTGCTTGTGGCCACCACTGCCGCCTTTAGCAGTGTTTTTGGCTCCTGTGTGTGTTGAAACATCGTGCCACCTCACGTCGCATGCGCCGTGGCCTGCGTTTTCGTCTCTGCAGCCTACGACGAGGAAGAGGAGCAGGCAGCCAGTCTGAGGACACTCGGTACGCATGTCAAGCCCGTCGGTTCATTTCTCATTGCTCATTCTTTTCACCACACGTGTTCACTCAACCATGGATCATGTTGCCAGCGTTCCACCTCACCTTCTCCACCCTCTCCACCTCCACCTCACCCTGCCTTGTCTTCAGTGCAATCGCTGCTGTTGCATCAGCGGCTGGTGCTGGCCAAGCCGGCCTTCCACTATGAGCAGTGCATGGTGTTCCAGGCGGTGACTCCAAACGGCAGCCCCGCCCTGGCCCAGGTCATCTTCGTTGCAAACAACGCCCGCGCCTCACGCGCCCCGTACGTCACCCAACGTTGCACCGTTATCCCGCTCAATCCAACCACCATGATCCATGCCGTCTGATGATGTGTTCATCACTTTGGTTCTGCTCACCCCATTCATCACGTCTCGCATCGCATCACATCATCCGAAATCGCCTCATCCCATGATACCAACAACATCCCACCATCTCATCATCCCGCCATCTCATCATCCCACCATCACCGCATCGCGCCATCTCAACATCCCACCATCTCCTCATCCCATGATACCAACAACATCCCACCATCTCATCATCCCGCCATCTCAACATCCCACCATCTCCTCATCCCATGATGTCATCATCCCCCACCGTCCCATACCATCCGAATACCACCTCGTCAGGGGCACGCCGCTGCACGAGCACCGCCAGCGGGCCGAGTACCACTGCAACGACATTCCCCTGCACCCGAACATTGCCCGCCCCATCGACTGGATCCTGGCCGACCGGCAGCAGTGCGTTGCGGTGTGCCACGAGGTGACGTCCATTGTTGCCCCGCGCTGCCTGTACGACCGCATCTCGCTCGGCGGGTTTATGGACCCCATTGTGGCGCAGGCCGTGGCCTGGGACCTCCTGGCAGGGCTCATGCTGCTGCACATGTGCGGCCAGGCGCACACGGCGGTGTCGAGCGCCAACGCAATTGTGGAGGAGGACGAGGCCGGCGGGTACATGGTGGTGGAGAGCGTGCTGGCGCGGGACGGCGCATGCGCAGAGGAAGAGCAAGCGCGCATTGCAGCAGCAGCAGCAGCAGCAGCAGCAGCAGCAGCGGCGGCGGCGGCGGAACAGGAAGGGGAAGAGAATGAAGGGGAAGAAGATGAGGAGGAGGATGATGATGATGGGCGCGCCTCGGATGGCGATTGTGACAAGGATGACAAGGGCAATGTCACCACCACTGCTGGTGGTGCTGCCAATCATGCTGACGAAGATGGTGGTGATAAGCGTGGAGAGGACGGCGCAGATGACGAATCCTCCAGCCAAAGGAAGAACGTGGAGCAAACGAATGGCGACAATGTGGAGCCGAGCGCCGATGCTGATGGCAACAGCAACAACAGCGACGATGCGCTGCCGTTTAGCGTGAACATCCGTCGTGCGTGCATGGCCCAGTGGATCAACAGCCTGACTGGATGGGTCGGCGACACCATCAGCGATGACATGTCGCTCCCACCATTTGACGACCACGCATACAGCTTTGACGCCCTCCGCAAGGCGCACCTCGCCAGCAAAGAGAATGGCAACAGCAACAACACCACCAGCAAGAGCAGCAATGGCCGCGGCCGCAGCCGCACGACAAGCACGAGCACGCGGACGTCGCCAACGGGCGTAGTGCAGCCGACATACGCAATCAAGGGCCGGCAGCTGCGGGAGATGCAGGCGCGGGACGTGCGCATGTTTGGTACGCTGGTGCTCGAGATGTACATGGGCCGGGAGGCGGCGCAGGCGTGGATTGACCGGCGACGGCGGCGGGCGCAGTCAGACGCCAAGGTGCGCTGGACCCCGCAGGTGCCGCCCTCTGTGCAGGAGTTTATTGAGCGCTGCTGGGCAACACACGTCCCGGACGACAGTGATGATGATGATGGTGGTAATGACGACGTGTCTGTGGACAGCGATGAGCTGGACACGGCATCGATCAAATCCATGTCGTCCACCGCCACCAACACCACAAACGCCACCAACGCCACCAACACCACGACAGCGACGACGACAACAGCAGCGACGATGACAACAACAACGACGACGGCAGCCGCGGCCGGGTCATCGTGGGAGGCTGGCTCGTACATCCGAGAGCTGCTGTCGCTCAAGTTTGTGCGGCAGCGGCTGCGGTTAAAGCACCGCTACGAGGACCACGTGCTGCGCGCCATTCACAGCCAGTCAAGGTGTGGTTTGCTCTGCGCGGGGGGGGGGGGAGGAATAGGCCGTTCGTGTGAGTGTATGCGAGCGGTATTTTGTGTGTGCATGTGTGTGTGTGTGTGTTTGAGCTGTATTGTTTTTTTTTTTTGTGTGTGTGTATTTGACTCTCCAAACAGCTAAGCATACATATTTGTGTCGTTGTGTTACTTGTTTTTGTTGCTGCCACAGGACGGTGCTCCGGTCCAAGTGGCGCGGATTCCTCGGCATTGGTGGATTTGGCGCTGTCGTGCACACCTTCAACAACCTCGACAAATCTCCTTACGCCGTCAAGGTGCGGCCGGTGCAGCCACAGCAGCCGCATTGTGTGTGTGTGTGTGTGTGTGTGTGTGTGTGTGTGTGTGTGTGTGTGTGTGTGTGTGTGTGTGTGTGTGTGTGTGTGTCCAACCGTACACGTTGTACAAAGCTCACTTTACACCGTGTTGTCCTTGGGCTCCTGGCCTCCTCCCCTCGTGTGTACTTGCGCCGCCAGATTGTGCCTTGCTCGCTTGAGGATGAGGATGACGTCATGAAGGAAGTGCGTGCGCTCTCCAAGCTGCACCACCACCCAAACATCGTCCGGTATCACAACGTAAGGCGACACACACACACACACACACACACACACACACACACACACACACACACACACACACACACACACACACACACACACACACACACTCACACACACTCACACACACTCACACGCTATCTTTGCGCGCACAATATTCGTTGTTAACGTCTTGATCACATCTCTTGTCTCTCCTCGTTTCCTTTTCCCTCCGTTCTCACTCACTCACACGCACACGCGCACATTCAATGCCTGTCTGCCTGTCTGCTGGCCAGGCATGGAGCAGCAAGACCTCAGAGTGGGGCGCGGGCGAAACGGTGGTTGGCGCCGACGAGGACGAGGAGGACGACGACCATGATGTCGATGATGGCGATGGCGTTTCCACCAGCGACGATGACGACGACGCCGTCTTGATGCGGCAGGTGTCCACCCCCGCCCCGCCCGCACTCATGCGCTCCGCCACTGGTGACGCCTCCCGCAACCAGGCTGGTGACAAGAATGGCCCTGGCACCCGCGGTGGCGGCGGTAGCGATGACGACACGGATGACGACACCGATGACGACACCGATGACGACACCGATGACAATGACGCTGGTGGTGGCGGACGGTTCTGGAGGGCTTCCTCCAATCCTGCGTCGGTGCCCCGTGAGGTCAGGCGCAGCCGTACCGACAGCACGAGCAAGCAGCGCCGCGGCACCGTCACGCCACGCGCATGCAGCCGCCACGCCAGTGCAAGCACGTCCCCGACAAAGCGCGCTGCCACCAGCCGGAGCAGGAGCAAAAGCAAGGCGAGGAGCAAGAGCAAGAGCAAGACGAGGGGAAAGAACAAGGCGCAGGTCAAGCAAGGCAGCGATGAGACTTCAAGCAACAACACTGCTGCCACCAGCGGCATCGATACGCCCGCAGGCAAACCCCCGGCTGCATCGGCTGCACGCACCCGTGGTGAGCGGGATGGAACGAAGAGCGATGGCGAGGTGGAGCTGGAGTCCATGTGCTCCCACGACAGCGACACCGGTGCGGATGACGCCGCAGACGACAGAGGTGGCGGCGCCACCACACCGAGTCGCACCCACCAGCGGCGCCGGCGGCAGCGGCAGCGGAGCGAACAGACGGGCCGCATGCCAACACACGCGCACATGTACGCCCACGATGGCGATGATGGTGATGATGATGATAGTGATGATGACAGCATCGTGTTTAGCACGACCCAGCCACCAACCACCACAACAACCGCGAGCCCTGCAACCACCACAGCCACCACCGCTCAGCAACGCGATGACAGCAAAAGCGGTGGTGGCGATGATGACACGAGCGTAAGCAGCGGGTGGGCGGGCGACTCTGAGCTTGCGACGGAAGAGCTCGTCTCCGCCACATCCATGGCGGTGGTGGACCGGCTGCTGGGAGGTGCCGACAGCGTCAGCGATGATGCTGATGCTGATGCTGATGCTGATGCTGATGCTGATGCTGATAGCAGCGGTGACGATGCTGGCGGTGATGGCGACTCGACGCCGTCAGCCAGTGATTCCGATGCTGGCGGCAGCAAGAAGCACACGCACGGCGGCGGCACGCGAGGGTCATTCACGCCAAGGCACGACACCAGCAGCGCTGCCGATGATGATGACGAAGACGACGACGATGATGATGATGGTGCAGCCCCTGCAGACGGAACCGAGAGCAAGGAAAAGAAGGAGCAAGACGCCTTTGTTGGCTCCAAGTTTGCCCGGGCGTTGTTCATGCGCAACAGCAGTGACAGCTCCACAAGCACCACCACCTCTGATGATGATGATGATGATGATGATGATGATGATGATGATGACAATACCACCAGCAACAGCTCCATCAGCAACAGCTCCAGCAGCAGCAGCGGCTCCAGCGACGATGAGTTTGATGTCGACATGAGTGATGATGGTGATGACATCCTGGATGTGTACACGTCTGGTGCCCGCAGTGATGTGCTGTTTGGTGGCCATCGCCTGAGCGACGATGGCGAAGACAGCACAGCAGGCGACGATGATGGTGACGACGACGAAGATTCCTTGAGCGCGGAGTTCATGCGTATGCTGCCAACGCCACTGGCCCCACGTCGCCGCGCCAGAGCCGCCGCCGTCACCACCGCACGTGACCGCGACGAGCGCCACGCCGCCGCCGCTGCCGCCGCCGCCAATAGAGACAGCGCTGACGACGATGGGGTTGAGCTGTACGGCTTTGACGACGAGGAAGACATTGACTCGGAGGACCTGCCCTTTCACGATGACAGCGGCGATGATGAGGATGATGATGATGATGAGGAGGATGACGAGGATGACAGCGAGTACGATGACGAGGATGCTGCCGAGTTCGGGAAGAAGCAGAAGAAGAAAGCGCTTGGTGGTGGACGTGGTCGACGGGACGGCACAACGCTGCTGTTTATCCAGATGGAGCTGTGCAGCCGGCGCACGCTTCGCCGCGTCATCAGGAGCGGCACGCAGCTGTCGTTTGCCCGCCGCATGCGCATCTTCAGCCAGCTGCTCGATGCTCTCAAGTACATGCACGAGCAGGGCCTTATCCACCGCGATCTCAAGCCCGAGAACGTGTTTGTCAACGACGCGCTGGAGGTGAAGCTTGGCGACTTTGGCCTGGCGAGGAAGACGCTGGACGATCGCTTTGTTGGCAGCGGGCACACCACGCAGAGCGCAACCCGCAGCAGCAGCAGGTTTGGCGGCGGCGGCGGCGGTGGTGGTGGCCGCGGGCTTGAGAGCGCGTCACCATCACTACCTGCACCGCCTGATGGGGACGACGACAGCGGGAGTCTGCAAAAGCCGTTGCAGCAGCGACAGCGGCACCAGGAGGGGCGCGCCCGCGCCAACAGCACGCTGCAGAACACCGCCAACGATGGTGTTAACGGCAGCAGCGACCACGGCCTCGGCAACACGGGTGGCACCGACGATGCGTGGAACAATGCCCGTCACGGCGTTGGCGGTGGTGGCGTCGGTGATGAGCGAGATTCGCTGACGCGGCGGGTTGGAACGGGGCGGTACATTGCACCTGAGGTGGAGACGGGCCACTACGATACAAAGGTGGACATGTATGCGCTGGGCATCATCTTGTTTGAGATGTCGTTCTTGTTCGCCACGGAGACGGAGCGGCAGTTTGCCATCCGCGACGTGCGCACGCCCGCAATTGTGTTCCCGCCCGAGTTTGAGAACAACGCCAAGGAGGAGACGACGCGCCGCATCATCCGCAGCCTGCTCGTGCACGACCCCTCCAAGCGCATGAGCGTGGACGACCTGTACGCGTCTGGCCTGGTCGACGACCCGCGGGCGCGGCAGCGGCTGAGCGACGCCATTGAGCTGGCGACCAACCCCGATCTGCCGGACCACCGCCGCCTCATGCAGCGCATGCTGGAGCGCCGGCTGTCTTGGCAGCAGCTGGCGGCGCTGTCGTCACCGGACCTGCCGCTGCGGCCCGTGCTCAGGGGCCACCGTCACATGCACGCTCTCACCTCGCTGCTGGCGCCCGTGCTGCAGCGGCGCGGCGCCCTGGAGATGGCGCACCCGCTGCTCACGCCGCAGTCTGTGGCGGCGCCAGAGGAGAGCAAGCAGGTGCGGCTGCTGGCCCACGACGGCACCGTGCTCATGCTGCCGGCCCACCTGCACATTGCGTTTGCGCACTACCTGTCGCGGATGACGGGCACGACGCCGATTCGCCGGTACACGAGCGGGGCGGCGTACCGGCACCAGTCGGCCTCGTCCTCCCCGCTCTCCATTGCGCTCGTGGCCCCGTCCTCCTCCTCCTCGTCGGGGCCGGCGACCGCGGTGACGGTTAAGGGCGCCGTGATGACGGTCATGCACATGGTGACGGGGCCAGGCAGCGACCGCGGCACGCGGCAGGCGCCAGCGGACGCAAAGCGGATTGCTGCCATGCACGACGCCGTGGTGAGCAAGATGAACGCGCGCGGCGTGTCGCTGTCCACAGACCACCTGAGCGACCGGAACTTCTTCAGTAGCAGCAGCGGCGGCGGCAGCGGCCGCGGCAAGGAGCGCAAAGGGAAGTCACAGCGGAGCGCAGCAGCCAAGAGCGCACCAACGTCCTCACGCAGCCGACCCAAGAAGAACAGGAGCAAGAGGGGCGCTGCAGATGGGGATGATGCTGCAACGGACAAAGCAGGTGGAGGTGACGGCGGAGAACAGGAAGCGGGGAAGCCGAAAGCCACATCACCCCTCGCAAAGCAAACACATGCCGCACAGGCCGCACATGCCGACGGCGGGGCTGACGCTGGCACCAGTGGCGGCGACGAACACGACCAGAGCGACGGCAAGGATGGTGATGAAGAGAGCGGCAACAGCGGAGCGTCGCCTGCCGACGGTACCACTGGCACAGGCGCTTTGTTGGAAGCGGTGCCTGGACTGGCGCCGATTGGGGGCGGAGCTGGTGGCAACAACACGTGCTCGCTCGCCCTCTCTGCACAGTCGCTGCTGGCGAGTGCTGGGGAATTGCACCCGCGGCTGGCGTACGATGTGGCCGTGCCGTCCCCGAACATGTCGGTGCTTTGCGATGCGGAGGTGATTGGTGTCGCCGTCACAGTTGCACGCGTGGCGCTCCCACCTGCGGCGCCCGTGCTGGTGTCGATTGGGCACACGGGGCTGCTCGAGTCGCTGCTGAAGGTGATGGGCATTGAGGCGTCGGTGCGCAGGAGCGTGTTCCGCGCACTGGTGGTCAAGGAGAGCGCGCTGCAGCAGCCGAGCGGCACAGAGGCCACGTCGGTGGAGCGGGCGAGCGCCGTTCTCGGCAGCACCAGCAGTGGCAGTGGCAGTGGCACCACTGCTGGAGGCGGCGGCCTACAGACCACAGGCGCAGCGGCGTCGAGGTGGCGCAAGGCGACCGCAGCAGCAACAGCCGTCAATAGGTGGAGCCGTCGTACGAGCACCGCAAGTGGCCGTGATCGCGGTGATGCTGCTACTGCTGCTGCTGCTGCTGCTGCTGCTGCTGCTGCTGCTGCTGCTTTTGTTGCTGGCGGCGGCGGCGGTCGCAAGGACAACAACAGCCCCAGCAGTGGCAGCGGGGACGACAGGCTAGCCGCTATGAACGCCGGCGGCCACCAGCACCAGCATCAACAACACGTGCACCATGGTGCGACAAGCGTGACGGTGCGAACGATTGGGGCGCTGCGGCGCCGAGAGGTGATCAACAAGCTGCAGCACGTGGACGGGCTGACGAAGAAGCAGCGGGCGGCGCTGACGGTGCTGTTCCTGGCCGACGGCACGAAGAAGGGCGTGCTGACAGCAGTGCGCACCGTGTTTGCGCAGTCGTGGACGTACCTGAGCGGCGACGGCACGCCGGTGAGCGTGTGCTGGGCAGATCAGGAGCGCGCGACCGCCGCTGACGCTGATGGTGGCGGTGGCGGTGGCGGTGACGGATCGGGCACTGGCAACAGGTCCGCTAGTCGCAGCAAAGGCAGCAAGGTGACGTTCAAGGTGCCGAAGATGAGCAAAGAGGAGCGGCGGGCGGCGCGGCGGCGGCAGCGACGGCGGGAGAGAGAGCAGCGGAAGCAGGCGGAGAAGGAGGAGGAGGAGGTGCGGCAGCACAACAGGGCGGCAGCACGTGCCGACGTTGTGGTGGAGGACGGTGTTGTCGCGGGCATGGGGCGACGTGCAACGCGAAGCGACAGCGCAGGGCGCGGCGGCAGTGGTGGTAGCGGCGACGATGGTGACGAGGCCTGGGAGGAGATTGGTGGCCGCAAGAAGCGTGGAAAGAAGGACAAGAACAAGGACGGCGCCACGCAGCAAAACCAGCAGCAGAAGCAGCAGCGGCAGCACAAGCATGGGAAGGCTGCGGACGCCACGACCAATGTGCCCGCGACGAAGGGCAGTGGCGCTGCGACGTCATCGGCCAAGGCAGCAACACAGGTGACCGCCACGACAAGCAGCACAACCTCGGCCACGACTGCTCCTCGTGGTCATGGCGATGTTGATGGGCGTGGGAAGAAGGTCGATGGGGTTGAAGAAGAGGAAGAGAAGCAGAAGAAGAAGAAGAAGCAGGAGCAGGAGCATCAACAGCACCACCACCACCAGCAGGAGGAGGAAAAGAAACAAGAACAGAAACAAGACGGCGAAGAAGAGGATGAGGAGGAAGAAGAAGAAGATGAGATGGTGCCGCCTCCACGCGTGCGAGCAGAAGTGGCGACCAGGTCGTACGAGCTTGCGCGGGCGTACCTGGAGCAGCTGCTGCAGCTGTGCGTGGTGCTTGACAAGCAGGGCGTGAGCACGCGATCCACGGTGATTGACGTGGACTTGTCGGCGCACAAGCGGCGGACGTACTTTGACTCGCTGGTGTACCACGTGATGGCAGAGGTGGAAACCATCTCCGCGTACACAGCCGAGGCACAACGGAACGCCGGCACCCCCGCAGCCAGTGAAGGCGCTGTGAAGAAAGGCAAAAAGGGCAGTGGTAGCCGCAGTGGCGGCGGCAGCGGTGGTGCTGTTGTTGCCACTGCACAGCAACATCGCCAACGCCACAGCGCTCACCATCAGCAGCAGCATGATCAGCAGGAGGAGCAGGAGCAGCAACAACAGCCTGTGCAGGTGCAGCTGCTGCAGCAACAGCATCAGCAGCAGGAGCAGGAGCGGGCTGCGGCGGCGCGGCACCCTGACCAGCGCCGAGTAGTGATGCTTGGCAAAGGCGGGCGGTACACGACGCTGGTGCGGCGCCTGCAGGCCTCGTCGCCGTGGTCGGTGACGGGTATTGAGCTCAAGTTGAACGTGCTGTACGACGTGTTTGAGGCGCGGCTGGCCAGCGCAGGCCGCCTGCCTGGTGCAGCTCTGGCGATCACAGGCCTCCCACCGCAGCTGGAAGCACAGCAGCAGCAGCAGCAACAGCAACAGCAGCAGCACTTGGCAGGGGCCGCAGCGCCGCTGCTGCCACGAGTGACGGGTGATGTGGACGAGGATGCGCTCATTGCCTTCAAGTTGGACACGATTGAGGACATGGAAGGTGATGATGACGATGATGATGATGATGAGGACGACGACGATGGCGGTGGTGATGATGATGCTGATGATGCTGGTGACGCAAAGGCGAGAGGGCGTGGGAGCAAGACGAGGAAGGAGAAGCAGAAGGAAGATACAAGTACCCATGCCAAGGGTGCAGGCACAGCCCAGGGCCAGGGGCGGAAGCGAGGCGGCGTTGGCGGGTTTGGCGTGGCTGTGACGGTGGCGGCGCGCGCGGATGCGAAGCGGCGCCAGCACCCGCTGTTGACGGGCATTCGGCGCCTGGCCAACCCCACGTGCATTCCAACCTGCGGCGTTGAGATGCACACGCAGGCCGCGACAACCACGGCTGGCGGTGCGCAGACAAACGGTGTGGGACCGTGCGGCGCTGGGCAGTGCATGGTCGAGGTTGCGGTGGTGTGTTTGCCTGCGCGCCCGAACACGGCTGCTGCCATGGACGATGGCGGCACTGGCAGCGGCAGCGGCAGCGGCAGTGGCAGTGCAAGCACGAGGACGTCGCCGCGCGGAGCCCAAAAGCAACAGCACAAGCCGCAGCAGCAGCGGAATCAGGAGCCGCAGAAGCAGAAGCGGTCGGCGGTGGACAGCGCAGCCATGAACATTGCAGCAGCGCACCAGCGCAGGGCCAAGAAGAAGCCAGCGACATCAGCGGCCGCCGTCGACGTGGCGGTGGCAGATTCGGAACTTGCCAGACACGTGGAAGGCGACGACTTTGGCGACGAGGGCGATGATGCGGGTGCGGATGTGCTTGCTCCGGCACGCACCGCAGGCGGCGACGAAGCAGACACGGCCGCAGCCACCGCGAGCAGGGCGAACAGGGGTGCTGGCAGCGGCGGCAGCAATGGCAGCAGCAGCACCAACAACAGCCGTGGAAACAGCGGTGGCGGGCGGTTCCAGGCCGTTGGCGTGATCCTCGGGGTGCTTGAGCAGGCCGGGGTGACGACGATGATGATTGAGGGTGAGGGCGCGCTGGCAGAGATGGCAGCGCTTCAGCCGCAGGGGACGGCCATTGCGCGCGTTGTGCTGGTGGTTGGCGAGGAGCAGAAGCTGTCTGGGCGCGTTGGCATTGTGTTGTGCACAGCTGCTGGGCAGCAGCATCAGATCTCGCGGCGGCTGTTGGCGGGGGTGAGCAGGTGCTGGTGTATGTGCAGCGGCTGCGGCGGCGCCACTCGCGCGAAGTGGAGGCTGAGGAGGCCGTGCTGCGGGCGCGGGCCCGGCTGCGGGCGGTGGCGGCGGCACGGAGCATCGGCGGCCGGGCCTACAAGCAGGCCGTGGAGGTGCAGCTGGGCAAGGTGTGTGAGGAGTACGAGGCGGAGAAGGCCCGCAGCATGTACGAGATGTCGTGGGCGGCACCGCTGCCGCCGCACCAGCTGCACCAGCACCAACGGCACCACCAACAGGCGGCCATGGACCGGCACAAACAGCAGCACCAGCAGCAGCACCGGTGGTACCAGCAGCACAAGCAGCTGCAGCAACAGCAGCGGCTGCAACAGCAGCGGCAGCAAGAGCGTGAGCAGGATGCGTTGGCGTCATTCATTCAGCGCCAGCAGCGGGCCGATGCTGGCGCTGCCAGTGGAGGCGGCGGCGCCGCCCTGGTTGGCAAGAATGGTGTTTCTCGTGCGTCCACAGCGGCGATGGTGGCAGACAGTGCGCGCGGCGGGCCAGCGGGCGCCAAGTCCACTGCCAGCGGTGGTGGTGAGCCACGCACGCCACCCACGGCTCGCCAGCGCCGCAACAGCGGGAGCGCCGTGAGAGAGACGGCCCCTGGCGTGTCCCCGAACCGCCGGCACGGCAGCCTGAGCAAGATTGGCAGCTCCCCGTCTGGCCTGGGGTCGTCGACGTCGACGGCAACAGCAACAACAGCAGCCACGAAGGCTGCGGCCAAGGTGCGCGCAAAGGCAGTGGCGAGTGGCGTGATGGCGTCGCCATCGGGGCGGGGCCGGACGTCGAGCCTGCGCACGAACAGCGGCGATAGATCAGGCACCGCAACGACCACCGCCGTCGCCGCCGTCGCTGCCACCACCACCACCACCACCAGCAGCAGCAGCGCATCAGCGAGCAAGACGGCAGATGGTAGCGGTGGTGCACGCGGCAATGGCGGCAGCATGGGCGGCGGGCCGACGACGGTCACGCGGGATGAGCTGCGGTGCAACATGCACATTGTGACGCGCGGCGACAAGGCGCACGACAAGGAAACCGGGAACCGGGCTGCAGACACGCTGCTGGGGGCGCTCAAGGACCTGAGCAACGAGCAGCTGGTGACGGTGGACGCGCGCAACATGGACGAGGCCGGGATGCGGCAGGTGCTTGAGTTTCTCGGCGGGACGGGCCCCGGCCGCGTGGACAAGGACACGCGGCGGTCACTGACGGGGCTGCGGGAGCGGCAGGTGCACGTGGTGGCGTTTGTCCGCAGTGGCGGAGAGATGGTGCTGCGCAGGGTACCGCCAAAGTAGAGGCAAAGGGTGAGGGGAGAGCTGATGCTGGTGCTGGTGCTAATGCTGGTGCTGCTGCTGGTAGGAAACGAACAAAGGTGCTGGGAGTCGAAGAAAGGCGGTGGTGGAGGTGAATGAATGCTGGGGTGCTTGGAGAGCAGTGAACGAAGGTGCTTGGAGAGGGGTGAATGAATGCAGGTGATGAAGGATTGGGTAACTAAATGCCCTTGATTTGTTATGTGCTGCTGGTAGCTTGTTCGTCTGCGCTTGTGTGGCTGGCGGGGATTGTTTTCGTGTCCGTGTGATGGAACGTGTGAGGAGTAGTGTTTGCGCTCTTGTCTGCTCCATCCACATTGCACCACTTTCACGGCAGGGCAACAGCCAACCGCAACCAACCCATTGCACGCACCGCGAACGAGTGAGCGGGCATTAAACGTTGTCTGTGTGTGCATATGTGGCAGCTTGGCGGTGTGCTTGAGGTGTGATCAAAGAGATGGTGGCCCGCACACACAGACAAAGGTAGAGGCAGAGGTACTCCCGCACAGATACAGTACAAACACACACAGATGCAGAAACAGACACACACAACCACACAGCCACACACAACCACACAGCCACACACACACACACACACACACACAACCATACAGCCACACACACACACACACACACACACACACACACACACACACACACACACACTCGCTGGCATTGCTCGCTGTCTGGTTCTCGCTTTCCAGTTCTATTCGAGGACAACCGCCCAGAGTCAACGACAAGCAATCGCATGATGTTCAAGGGAAGAAGAAACATACACACACAACATGCCTGGTGTACATATGGGCTGGTGCAGGGTGTGTTGTTGTTGCGACAACAACAACAACAACAAACCAACAAACAGAACAAGAAGGAGAAAAATGGGTCGGGGCAGCAAAAGAGACAGGAGAGGGACACACACTGACACACGCACACACACGCACAAACGATGCAGCTGTTCACACAAAGGCAAGCACGGCGTTTCCACCCGAGGTGAACGGGGAGCAAAACCACCAAAGCGTGCGGCTGGGAAGAATGACGAGTCGAAGATCAACCCATCCATCACAATGCGAACGAGCACATGTGCTTGTGGAAACAGTGCACGATGACCTCAGCGGTGAACCACATCAAGCACCCACAACGACGACGACAACGACAACGACGACAACAAGAGACACACAAAACAAAACACGACAGTTAAGAAGATTGGAAGGCACGAGGATTAGGTGGCGTACTTGGTGGTCCACTCGCGTGCCGTCTTCTCGTACTTGGCACGGTCTGTCTTGTAGAGGCGGGCAATCTCGGGCACGAGCGGGTCATCCGGGTTGGGGTCTGTCAGGAGGGAGCAAATGGAGAGGAGCACCTTGGAGATGGTCAATGCCGGGCTCCACTGTGACTTGAGAATGTCGAGGCAGATGCCGCCAGACGAGTTGATGTTGGGGTGGTAGATCTTTGTTTGGAACGAGACCTGATAATTGGGGGGGGGGGGTGTTCGTGGTGGCGATGGTGAGTGGGGGATGGGGGAATGAAATAGAAATGCGAGTGAGGGCGCTCGAGTTGGCATCTCATGACTCACACGAACATAGACACGCGCGAAAGCACACAAGACACACACACACGCGCGCGCGCGCACACACACACACACACAAGCGTACCTTTGGCGGCTTGAACGGGTAGTCTGCGGGGAAGTGAATGTCGAGGAAGAAGACGCCCCCTTGGAAGGGGCTATCTGAAGGACCCATGATGGTTGCCGACCAGTGGAAGTAATCATCACCAACAGGACCAGCCGAGCACTGCAAAAGGCAGGACAGAGGGAGGAAGGAAGCGTCGACAACACATTCCACCAAGCGTGAGAGACGGGTCGGCACAAGGAATACAAACAGCTGTCCGCGTAATGGCATGCGCAATTCATTAGCACAGGGATGTGCAGCAGATGCAAACATACACACACACACACTCGCGTGCGCAGAGAAGGGCAAGGGCGCCAGGAGAAGGACAAGAGCGCCAGAAGCAGCTCGCAAGCAAGCAAGGACGCAAGGAAGCAAAAAAGAAGCCAAGCAAACGAGCGGACAGCGTACTTGTGCAGGAGGATCACGCTCAAGATCCTTGAGTTCTCTGTGAATTCGCTTCAAAGCCATGGTCTGCAGCGCCAAAAAGCAAGCATGCGGGGTGCGTGTGCGCGTGTGAATATGTGTGCGTGTGTGTTGTTTGTTGTGTGTCGTGTGTTGTTTGATGGAGATTATGAGGAACTTGGTGAAGCGGAGCAAACGCACGCGCAGCTTGCTGTACATTCGCACGCACGCCGACAGTAAGCTCGCACAAGTGGCACAAAGCAGATGACCTCCACAACGCAGCACATCGAGGTACATACACACACACACACACAGAGCACACACACACGCCGCACAGAGCAAAACGTACGTGTCGAGTCTAGGGAAAGAGTGAGGTGCGGAAATGAATGGAACCTGTTTAAGGGGGGGGGGGTGTCTGCCAAGGTGTGTTGTGTGGCGTGTGTGAGCGGTGATTGCGTGGTGATGGGCTGCAATTGAAACTCGTCGACACAAGCTCAAAAAGCAAACAAAAAGAGAAAGCTGGCAGGCTATGGTCGTGTCACGTTATGTTACAACAGAAAAAAAAAAAGGCACGCAGCTAGCAGCAAGGCGAAGGAACAAGAGGAGTGTGTTCGACAAGATATGCAAGCGCGCCTGCCAACGCAGCACTCGCCACAGCGCACCAGCACCACCACCAACCAGATGATTCACCCAAGCAAGGGAAAGAGAGAGAGAGAGAGCGAGGAAGCGCAAGAAGAGAGAGCGAGGAAGCGCAAGAAGAGAGAGCGTGCGTGCGCGAGGAAAGAAGCAAGGAGGGCAAATCAAGATGACGGACACGCCATGATGGTGAATGTCGTGGACAAGCCGCACCCGTAACAACAGATGGGGCAGGCTTGGCGACAGCCACACACGAGGCAGAGGAACAAGGAGGAGAGAGAAAGCATGCAGGTAGAAGCCATCCCCCTCCCTCTCTCTCATCTCCTCTCTCAAAACCCCTCTCATCTCTCTCGCCATGTTTCCTTGACCGCGGGTGGAAGACTCACCACAAACAAACAGGCAGATGTGGGCGGACGACAACGGAGCAGCCAGCAAGCAGCGCTTTATGCCAGGAAAAGTGTGAGAGGCGTGAGTGGCAATGGCGGGTGATGATGATGTGTCAAGAGAAGAAAGAGAAGCAAGAAGAAGAAGCAAAGGAAGCGCTGTCGTTGTGGCTGCACCGTTCTCGGCAACGAAAGTTTGGAAAGAGTTGTGCGGAAGATTATCGCTGACTCAGCAAGAGTAGTGGCGAGGTGGCATATGGCGGATGTGCAGAAAAACCGGCCTCCACTCAAAGGCAACTCCACTACCTGTCACATTTGACAGCCTGACAAATCCTTGACAGATTTAAACGCATTGGGTGAATCGAACACCACGCAATACACACGCAAACATGGATGGTGACGCCATTGCCGATGATTGAGCAAAGTTTTGCAATGATGTTCGCGGTTGGGCCATTCTAAAACCACAACCAACCAGTTTTGATTCCACGAACCACCACCATGCAACAACAAACAGGCTGTTGTGTTGCGTGATTTGATTTGATCAGCCATCTCATTGGCAGCAGGAACAGCAGAGCAGCGGCAGGCAGCACGCCTCCAATCTCATCATCAGCATGCACGCGTGCCAGTGACGTGTTTGGTTTCGTCATGCACAGCGACTTCAAGCTTTTCAAACAGCAAAACGGTGCGCTGTGTGTGGATGAGAAAGTGCACAGTGTGGTTGGCGAGTGTACAATCACTGACCAGCCGTGTTCAACAACGCAAGCTCGCTCGGACACACGCGCTTCGCCGTGTTGTGGTGACGCTGCTTTGCTTGCCCAACCACACAGCATTGACTGAGCATCCAAAAGGCCAACAGCCGTCCTCAACGGCCCCTGACCAAGCAACAAGTCTCACATGTGTGTGTGTGTGTGTGTGTGTGTGTGTGTGTGTGTGTGTGTGTGTTGGTGGGGTGGTTTGCTGGCAATGCCATGGGTTGATGGCCATTTTCTTCGTCGACCTTCATCAGCCACATCCACGCCCTTAACCAACCTCGCCGCCAAGCAAGAAGGCGTGAAACAACAGCTTGACGCCGTTGCCACATACGAAGAACCTTTTCTCCTCTCAGCGACTTGGCGAGCTCAACGGCAGACACCTTCCGTGACCTTCTTTGGATCCCCATCCTTGGGTAGCCCTCCCTCTCTCTCTCTCCTTTGTTCTTCGACCGCCCACCAATCCGCGCTGATCCCAAGTCCCTTCACACAGAACAGTCATGACAACGCAGCTCCACCGACCCGCGTCGGTTGCAGTCGCGACCTGTCTTTTGGCACTAGCCATCTTCTGCATCCCTCCTACGTCTGCCGTCACAACCAAGACCATCACCCTTCCCAACAACGACACTGCCACGCAGTACACATACGTCATCGGTGCTCTCACCGACCGAGGTGCGACTTTTGTGTGCCTGAGTGTGTGTGTGTGTGTGTGTGTGTGTGTGTGTGTGTGTGTGTGTGTGTACCTGTGTGTGGAGGTGTGGGGGGGTGTCTATGGATGTCTGTGTGTGTGGAGGTGTACTTGTGTGTCTGTGTGCATGTGGGCATGTGTGAGAGTGTGTATGGTGCAAGACGCGTTGGCTTTGCCTTTTCTCGAGAAGCGTGTGGCTTCGTACGCACGCGCCTGCCTCCCTGCTCCGCTGGCTTGTTTCCCAGTTGCTTCTTCGTCCTTCCAACTTGCGCACTCACACAGCTCATGCAATGCCACATTTTGTCTCCCGTCTCCCACCACTGATCACGAGCAGGCTTTGACCGGTACAACCAGTCCATGGGGCGCACCTTCAACGAGTACCTGAACAGCGTCGTGTCGCCCAAGTTCAACGGCCTCGTCAAGTTTCGCTCGTATCCGCTTCGCTTCCGCGATATGCTTGATAATGGCCGCGACGGCGACTACGACTTCACCTTTGCCAACCCGGCCCTCTTTACCTGCGGCGAGGCAGAGTTTGGGCTGGCATCGCTCCTCACTCTCCGTCGCAAAGTGCTCGGTGCGTGCGTACATGCATTGTATTTGTGTGTGTGTGTGTGTGTGTGTGTGTGTGTGTCTGTGTGTGTGTCTGTGTGTGTCTGTGTGTGTCTGTGTGTGTCTGTG